GGTTTTAGGAACATGGTCACAAAGCAGATGTTAGCGAGTGTGCGAACATGGTCACACAAACACACACTCTGACAACACTGCAGTATGATGCAGATAAGATAAAAAGCTGACTAACTCTGTGGGGCAATTGGATTTTCATCAAATACCTCTGAATGTCAAGCTCAGAGTGAAGGGAGGAGAGCATGGCCTGTAAAGACTGATGGAAGAAAAAAAGAGGAGAGGAGAAAACAAAAAAGCAAAAAGCTTAGAAATGCCAGTGGGAGGTTGAAATGGAAAAGAAATGTTCATCCGACAAAACAGAAGAACCATGGAAACGAATTAATGTCGACGGCAGGCCATAGAACAGAGGAGTGAGGCTAAGTGCAAAGACAGCCTAAGTGCAAAAGTTAAACATAGTCTAAAAAGTTAGATTGTATTTAGTTTAAATCATCACTTTTTATATGCTTACGTTTGTTAAAATTAGCACTGACATGATAATCCTACAAATCCTACCTCTTAAAAATGTCTACAATAACATTAATTGCAGCCATTTATACAATGCCATATCCTTTAAAAAAAAAAGACCATTTAAGTTCATCAAACTTCACATCCCTGTGTGATGTTTGCTGAGTCAGTATGGAAGCATTTTTCTGAAGTACCGTCACAGCAGCTGGGCAAATTGGTGAGCCGCAACTCAACTTTTATAATTCCATTAAAATATGCTTATACTGCAGGACTCAGAGATTTAAAGTAATGAATAAAAATGTACTCTTATTTTGTTAATACATGACGATAGCCACTTAAATAATAATAATAATAATAATAAAAAAAGAGAGAGGTGACACACAGTTGGGCTGTCACCTGAATCCAGTCATGTGTCTGGAATTTAATCTGACCACTGAATGATACATGACCTTATTCACTGTTGGTGGCCCTCCCACACTGCTTCTCATGTGCTACTGTGTCACCCCTGGGAGTGTTGAATCATTTTGGTTTCTTCCATCACCTGTAGGTAGTAATTATGTCAGAGCGGTCTGGCAGTGTAATCCAGTGTTTTCTAAAAATACTGAAGTGGAGAAAGCGGCAGCCACATTCAGACTTTAACTTTAAGTTCCCTTAAGGATTACATTTCTGAGTTTGCTGTGCGAATTGATAGCGTGGTTTCAGATGTGCTTTGCCATGAGGCTGATATCAGTAAACAAAAACTTAAATTGCTCATAGTTTTGGCTGGAACTCAAAATGTAGGGGAGTAGAGGAAGATTAGATCATTTTGTTCTTTGCTGTAACTTAGTTAAGACGAGTGACTACCATACATAGTGTTTCCTCCTTGATTGAAGGCTTTATGCTAAGCTAAGATAAGGTAAGCTAAGCTATGCTAAGCTAAACC